TGACTATAATAAAAACCACTTAATTTTACACTTTTAAAGGCTAAATTATACGGTCTGCAAATTACAACTCAGTAAACTATCATAAAAAAAGAAAATTCTTATGAGACAGCAAGCATGAATCTGATTGTATATAAATTTAAAATAATTAAGTACCTATATGCCAATACTCTACCAATAAGTTTTATGTTATACAATGTAAGAAGTATATCCACTATTATGTTACAGTTTATCAAAATAAAATCTTTCCTATATTCTGTAGAACTCTCTCTAAACAATGGGCAAATAAAATCAGATGTCTTTTTAATCTGCCATATCCTACCTTGAACAAACAGGATTTCTTCCCCTTCTTGTTTTATAAAAAAAAATGAATCTAACCATTTCTATTCTACTAACATCACAAAGTTATTGTCAGGATTAAATGGGATAATGTAGTATAATTATTAGTGGGAAACTCCATTAGAGCAATGATCACTAGAGAGGTGGAAGATGTAATTTGTAATTACTAAGGAGTTAGAAGCTGGGCTTAAGCATGATTAGCCCAGACTTCTTTCCTCCTTCTTCTGCATCTGCCTACCTGGACAAAGCATACATTTTAGGCCATTTGCTGCCAGGTGTAAGAAGCCTGTAAATGTGGAGTTGTGCTCTGACTAGGTGGACAGATTTATGAAGAAGCCAGTCTTTTTTCTGTCAGTTTTATCAGTAGTAAAGTTGGTATTTTCATCTCAATGTCTCTAATTCCTATGTGGCTAATTCCAATTATAAGGGGAACATTTATTAACTTCATAAAACTTCAATATACATGAAAGTACTTGATAAAACATAGAAACAATATAAAGAAAAGGTATTAATGTGAAAATATTAGTTAATACCTTTTCCAATTCATCCAGTCTAACATTAAAGCAAAAAATAATTAAAAAGCAATAAAAATTTTAAAATATTTCTTTTTGTTGCTAGTTAAACAATAAAGCAAGATTGTTTGACCAACCTATACAACTTTGGTAGTATATTTAACGAAAACCTCTAATGATCAAATAAAATTACATTCTGAACACAGAATGATGACATTTAATTAAATAGGATAGATCTTTTCAAAAAATCAAATCATTAACCCATTAGTAGGAGTGTGCAGATCAAGAGGATTAGACTCTTGCCTAAATGATTAGATCTAAGTGATGTTCATAGAAATTACCATTAGAAATATTTTAAGCTAGTTATAGGTTTGGAGAAAAAAAATCAGTCTGCATGAAATTCTATGAAAATAATAACATTAGTAGGAAATATGAAAGCTCTTTATCATGTAAATTTATTTAAAATTATTATTCTGACATTTCATCTTCCAAAACAGATATGGGGAGTACACTGCAAAAAGTACCCCTTTCTTTTTTAAAAAAGTACTGCTTATGTTTAATCCAGTTTCTCTAAGCTGAAGACAAGTGCCAAACAGTCAACTAAAGGGATAAAAATAAATATTCTATACCTCCATAATAAATGACATCTACAAAATGTAATAGAAGGAATAATATAGGTATTCAAATAAAATCCCCCAATACAAATTTTGATCTATTTTCTAAAGTTATAAAAAAAATCTAAATTATAAAACATAAATCTCCTAGGTAGGGAAAACAGGTCTCTAACATAATTTCATACTGTAACCATAGTCCTAACCATGCAGAGACTATAGCTACAATGAAATGAATTGTTCAAACTTAGTTTTTCAGCACTGCAATTTAAGTGATCATAGTGGCAATATAACATAATAGCAAAAAGCACAAGCTTAGGATCCTGGTCTTACTATTTACTAGCCGAGGAAGTAATTTAATCTAAATCTCAGTTTTATCAACTGTAAAATGGAACCCATATATACTGTGATGGTATATATAATGCCTATAAAGTGGTTAAGAAAATCCCTCGCACACAGAATTCAAAACATGATAACTTTTATTATTAGCTATATATGCCTTCCACTGTATGCTACTGCTTCTTAGGGCTTTCATTTTCACTTCAGACATAACCTCCCAGGAAGGTATATTTTTTTTGACAATGTAAAAAAAAACTTCAGAAAATCATGTTCTCTATTTCTTTCATATTTTCTACCACCTCTATTTCTTTCATATTTCTTACCAGAGAAACTGGATTAGATAAACATAAGCAGTACTTTTCTTTTAAAGAAAGGGATACCTTTTGCAGTGTACTTCCCATATCTGTTTTGGAAGATGACATGTTAGAATAATAATTTTCAAATGAATTTACATGGTAAAGATGTAAAGATGGTAGGAAATATGAAATGGATGTACCAGTAGTTATACTTTAACAAATAAATGAACAGAAAAATGAAGAAATAAATGAACAAAGTAATGAAAGAAGGAACAAATAAAGTTGGCAACCATCTCCCAGTCTCTGCTAAAGCAGTATGATCTTAATTATCTAGCATCTCCTGGGTCTGGACTTCAGAGTGTAGCTATGGTCAGCATTAGGTCATATAAATGAACTGCATATGCCCTGCTAAAATTGGAACTCCATCCTAATAATATTCAAGTTGGGACATCTTGTGAATTATAGTAAATTCAGAATTAAAGTACCCTTATTAGAAAAGCTTTAGAACTCAATAAACCATCTACAGATTATTTACTCTATCTTTATTTAAATGTGATAGAATGAATATGGAACTTAAAGGATATATAATTTGATAAAACTAGGCTACAATTAAATAACAAAGGCTCTGTAACTGTCCTAAAGGGAAGCAAAGTCAAAATATTCATAACATCCCAATAGGAAATTTAACTGAATGGAATGGGTCTCTTCCATTATTTTGAATTCAGTTATAAATTACAAAGAAAAAATGCCAAAGAAAATTACATGTGAGAAAATCTTCTCGAGTGTGTATAAAGGAAAAAAGTTTCTATTTATTACTTGTAATAATACTCATTAGGGGGAAACCAGAATATATGACAAAGTGCATTCAACAGCATTACTGAATTTAAACACACACATCATTTACTTTCTATGCCAAGGTTAGCAAAATAAGAATTTCATTTCTCATTTCCCAATGCTGTACTATAATACTCTAATTTGTAATCAGAACTCCAATCACTGCATATTTATAAAGTTCTGCTTACCTTACTGTTTTTTTTCTTTAAGTATAATTGACATAAATTATTATATTATTCTCAAGTATATACCGTGTTTCCCTGAAAATAAGACATCCTCCGAAAATAAGACCTACTTACAGGTTTCCTTCTGAGTGAAACATAAGGCATCCCCCCGAAAATAAGGGCCTCCCCTCCCCCAGGTTAAACATGAGAGATTTGGTCCACTGATTCTGAAAGAAATGGAGTCACAAGAAATTCACCAGGAAATTCAGAAATTGGATTGTTATGATGATGTCCCAGAAGATGATGATATCATTGTTATTGAATAAATGAGTAAATTCTTGATACTGTAGGATTCACAGTTTGTCTAGTTTGTGTTGACAACTACCGTACTACTGTACCATATACAGGTAATAAATTTCCTTTATTTTCATTTAACAATAAATGTGTACCGTATTCTTCTTCATGGAAAAATAAGACATCCCCTGAAAATAAGACCTAACGCATCTTTGGGAGCAAAAATTAATATAAAACACTGTCTTATTTTCGGGGAAACAGGGCAATATATAGTGATTTGATATTTACATACCTTATGACATGACCACTACCACAAGTCACTGAACAAGTTATGATATTATTAGATATATTCCCTGTGCTACATATTACATACCTGTGACTTATCAATATATATAAAAGCCTAAGAGACCGTCAGACCATTTGCCCAGTAGCTATGACACACAATGACCATCGGGGGCAGACACTTCAACCAATAGAGGGAGCCCGATTCCTCGTGGAATTGGCCGTGTGTTAGATCGCTGCTGGGGCACTGTCGGCCCCATATCTGCTTTGCCTGTACCTCAGACCCATCGGGGGATGTAGGAGGCCCAGTGCTTATGTACTGGTGGGGTCCCCTGGCCTGGCCTGCGCCTTTTTGCAATTTGGGACCCCTCGGCCTCAGGGGATGTCAGAGAGCTGGTTTCAGCCCAATCCTCGCGGGCCAGGCCAAGGGACCCCACCAGTTTACGAAACCGTGCACTGAGCCTCTAGTTTATTTTATAATTGGAAGCTTGTATCTCTTATTCCTTTATCTTTTCACCCATACTCCTCTCCCCTTTTGGCAACCAACAGTTATTCTCTGTATCTAGGCCTCTGTTTCTGTTTTGTTTGTTCACTTGTTTCTGTTTTTGTTCAATTCCACGTATAAGTAAAATCATACAATATTAGTTAATCTGTCTGACTTATTTCACTCAGCATAATGAATGGCCTCTGGGTCCATTCATGTGTTACAAATGTCAAGATTTCTTTTTTGTTATAACTGAGTAATATTCAATTGTGTGTATAAATGCATCTTTTTTATCCATTTATCTGTTGATGGATACACGAGTTGATTCCATTTCCTGACTACTGGAAATAATGCTGCAATGAACATATATCTTTTACCTACTATTTCTTAGGTTCACAACACAAAACACAGGGTCATAGCAATTTATCACACAATAAAGATGTTGAGAAAATCTTTTGGCTTTCCAATTTACTTCTGGTAATCTACTTAAATTACATCTTAAATCAGTATAGGACGACAGTCCCTGGTGGTCTAGTGGTTAGGATTCGGCGGTCTCTCAGTATCGGACGATAATGGAAAACTACAAAATGCTACACATCCTTTGAATTTTATTCAAAATTATCCATCTTTAGTCTAGAAGATTTGAATATAGGTTTTAATGCTTCAAATTTTGCATGACCAAAAGTTTTGAGTATGTGAAGCACCTGAAATTTAGACTGTTTAAAAGATTATAGAAAATGAAAACCTCCATATATTTCATATCTTCTACTTTCTTTCTTTCCCCCTCCTGCCACCTCATGTCTGCCCGCCCTGCGTGCACTGGCAATATCTCCTACTTTCTTACTTACTACATAAAATCGGAGAAGAGGGTGTCTGCAGTGTCAAAGTGGAGCCATCTTTCCTTGTGATATTAACTCGAAAAACCAATCTGGCACGAGTACTTTTTTTCTTGGAACCAGCAATTCCTATTCTGGCTTCAACATCAGCATTTCTCAATTTCAATATCCCTACGCAGTCCACCCTAAAAACAGAAAAAAAGTATATTAACTGATATTTTCAGTTGCTCATATGATACAGTATTTTTAATAATAACAAGTTTCTTTTTTTAAAGTTGCTTTCTTATTAATTTTTGAATGTGTAATATAATTATAAGATTCTAATTTCAAAAGATGTAGAAGGGTAAATCATGACTATTTCTTTTTTTAAATATATTTTTATTAAATTTTTTACAGAGAGGAAAAGCGAGGAATAGAGAGTTAGAAACATTGATGAGAGAGAGTCATCGATCAGCTGCCTCTTGCACACCCCCTACTGGGGATATGCCCGCAACCAAGGTACATGCCCTTGACTGGAATCAAACCCGGGACCTTTCAGTCCTCAGGCCAACGCTCTATCCACTGAGCCAAACTGGTTTCAGCAATCATGACTATTTCTAATTCCTAATCTTGTCAGCTTTTTATTTGTAATGAAAAAGACAACAAAAAAGTAAAATTACTATTTCAAAATCTGAACATAAGGAATGATTTACAAAGAGTACTTTTGCTGTGTTATTTTTTAAATAAATAAATTTAGCCTCTGTCTTTTGGCAACTAATTCAGATACAGAGGAAATAGGATTTACTGTTTATTAGTATTTTTTTTAAGTACATCTCTGAATGCATAATGATCTGGCCACTCAGTGTATATCCTATATAATAAAAGGCTAATGTGCAAATTGTCTCCTCGACCAGCAGGCAGGCCGGCCAACCACCCATGTCCCCTCCCCCTGGCCAGGCTGGCTGGACCCCACCCATGCACGAATTCATGCACCAGACCTCATATATATGTATGTATGAACACACACACACACACACACACACACACACACACACACTGAGTGGCCAGATTATTATATGTTTAGGGACCATAATAATCTGGCACTCAGTGTATATTTTATTGATTTTTTTTCAGAGAAAAGGAAAGGGAGAGTTAGAAACATCAATGAGAGAGAAACATCAATCAGTTGCACGCCCCCTACTGGGGATATGCCTGCAACCAAGGTACATGCCCTTGACTGGAATAGAACCTGGGACCCTTCAGTCCACAGGCCGACACTCTGTCCTCTAAGCCAAACAGGTTAGGGCGGATTTTACTTTTATAATATTAGTAATTATCCCAACAAGAACAGGCCACTAAGTAGACCTAAAAACATATGATTCTATCTAATAAAGATTGAATAAGCAAATTGATCATCATTCCACAACAAAGATGGCGCGCCCACAGCCAATAAGGAGGGAATATGTAAATTGGCATGACAAATATGGCGGCGGCCAAACTGGGATGCTTGTGCCGTTGCCATGGCAATGACACAGGCATTGTGCCCCACCCCAGCTGTTCCAGGCCTCTGGGCATGCACACGTGCAGGCACAAAGTGGCTGGGGTGGGGCGGGACGCCTGCTATGAGGGGGGATGGCAGGGCCAGAGCGAAGGCAGAAGATGGCTCCAGCCAGAGCAAAGGTGGAAGGTAGTGGCCAGAGCAAAGGCCGGGGTCCCAGGTGCCAGAGGTAAGCCGGTGCCGGCAGCCAGGGGAAGGAAGGCCTATTCTTGCACCAATCTTCATGCATTGGGTCTCTAGTATAGGATAATATTTAATGTTATGGGAAAATGCTAAGTAAAAAGCAGGTTATAAAACAGTGGGTACAATATTATTTCAATTTTATCAGAAAGAAAGGATGAAAAGATGAATATCAAAATAGAGGTTAGCACTAGCCGGTTTGGTTCAGTAGATAGAGCATTAGGCTATAGTTATTTCTGGGAAGTTGGCTTTTTGAGAGGTATGGTTTTAGCTTTTTATGATTATTTTTAATTGATTATTTTCAATTCTGTATTTTCAACTTATAATGTTTAGATACTATTTTTAAATATATTTTTATTGATTACAGATAAGAAGGGAGAGAGAGAAACATCAATAATGAGAGAAAATCATGGATCAGTTGCCTCCTACAGGCCCCTTACTGTGGATTGAGCCCACAACCTGAAAATGTGCCTTTGAATGGAATTGAATTAGGATCCTTTAGTCTGCAGGTTGATACTATATCCATTGAGCCAAACCAGTGAGGGCAGGTACTATTTTTATAATCAACTAGAGGCCCAGTGCATGAATTCGTACATGGGTAGAGTCCCTCCCTAGGCCTGGCTGGTAATTAGGGCCAACTGCAGCCTTCTGACTAATGGCTGGGGCCTTCCTTCGTTCTGTGCCATCCCCCAGTGGCCAGCGCAGGTCATAGTGAGTGATCAAACTGCTGGTCTCCCAATCAAACTCCCGAGGGGGCAAATTAACATATCAGGTTTTTATATATATAGATTATTCCCTTCCTTTCTTCCACAATATACTTTTATTTTTATAATTTTTAAAATATTAAAAATAATTACTGAATAAATTTTTTAACCTTTCTTTTAAAAAATGTTATTGACTTTTAGAGAGAAAGGAAGTGACAGGGATAGAGAGACAGAAACATAATGAGAGAGAAACATCATCAAACAGCTGCCTCCTGCACACCCGTGATTGGGGATTGAGAGCCCAAAACCAGGCCATAAGTCTGCCCGACAGGAATAGATCTAGTGACTTCTTGGTTCATGGGTAGACACTTCACCACTAAACCACACCAACCAGGCTTTACTGAATATTTTCCAAACATTTCTTTTCCAATTAACTTCTTACTATATAAATGGCTTTCAAAATGAAGCAAAGCCAGCCCAGCTGGCGTAGCTTAGGGGCTGAGCATCAACCTATGAGCCATGAGGTCACAGTTCAATTCCAGGTAAGGGCACATACTGGGTTGTGGGCCCCATCCCAGGAGGCAGCTGGGTTGATTCCCAGTCAAGGGCACATGCAGTGTTGTGAGCTCAATCTCCAAAAGGGGGCCTTCAGGAGGCAGCTAACTGATGTTACATTCTCACATTGATGTTTCTCTCCCCCCCATCCTCTCTTTAAAAATCAATTAAAATTAATTAACTAATTAAAAGATGGGTCAAGGAATCATGAATAGTCCCTGTTAAATAGTTTCTAAAACAAACATTAAGAAAACAGAACTTAGGAAAGCAAACCAAATTGTAATTTTTACTTTTAATGTTAATATTGTTAATACCAACAAATAAGTATATTATTTTCCAAAAAGCCAGCATTCCACCTTGTTTTTATTTCCCTGCCTTTCACGACAGGAATTCTCTAGCAAAGAGTAAGAGTTGATTTTAATCCATTAGCATTCTTTAATAATCTGTTTTTACAAACATTTTAATAAAATACTCAAAATCTTCAAGAAACTAAAAAATATTCTTGCTTACCAAATATTGAGAGAATGAAAGTTTTTTTACTAAGTACTTACGCTAGTGTCATGTTGTTGTTCGGATCAAGGCCAACTTCTATAACAGTAGTGCCTTCAATGTCCACTTCTTTGCAGGGAGTTGTATTTCGCCCAGTTACCCTGCAGGCCTGATAAAATCCATGTGGTTTCACTCGACCAGAGTCGTTACCCACAAACACTTGCAACACTACTGGCTCATTATGGCCTTCCAGCTGGAGTAAGATAACATGGAGCATAAACACTAATTAGCCTTTCAAATAACCTAACTGTAAAATCAAGCATTTAGTACTAAGTCTTATATTTATAACTGGGTTACAATAAAGACATAATTTAAATCCTCAAGAAAAAGAGAGGTAAAATATTTTCATAGAAGAGAGTTGACTAAATTTCTGCAGAAAATTATAAGTTTAAATTTCTCACTTGCCTGTTACTGGTTTTGAGTTTAGGGGACTGAGGATTGGTTGATGTAGTGGAAGCATGTCAAACTCACAGCCCACAACAAATATTTTTGCTGCCCAGCCAATATAACAGTATGTAAAAAACGTTTTAGTAAAAATTTTGTAACTTAATTTTTACAATATCCTGTTATACATAATTATTAATAACAAACTACAATGTTCACTAATGACTGATTACTATAATCGTGTTGCATTCATTTCCTTTACATGCCTTATGCACAGGTGCACAATTTCTCTCCACTAAAAGCAGCGAATATTTTAGCAGCCAATGGCCATGTCATTAGTCTTGGATTGACTTGTTTGGTGTGTGCAACAGGAAATATTCTGCTTTCAGAGAACAAAAAACAAAAACAAAAATTTGTCTTACGCTTATTAATTTGTGCAGGTATTCAGTGTCTGGTAAGTTAATGTTCAAGAAAAAATATTAATTTTTATTAAAATTTTCTATTATTTTGTTAACGATTACTCATTTACTTCAGTCCTTTGTATTCAGCATGTCTCTATTGAAATAAACCTACATTTCTATGAAAATTGAAGTTTTTGTTTTTTTGCAGCCCACATAAACTTAAGCCTTGCTTATTTGGCCCATGTTAGCCTTTGAGTTTGACATAGTTGATGTAGTGAGTAGTAGAGGGACAGAAATGATATGGTACATATGACTATTAACTGACCATAAGTTTCCTGATCCCAAGTTTTTACCATTATTTCATTCAAGTATAAAACAAAAGGCAGTCTAACTAAATATTGTTCAACTAACACATTTATACAAACTGTATTTATCAAGAATCTACCATGTGACTAGGCAATATTCCAACCGGTTTGGTATTTTTCAAGGGGTTAGAACACTTGTTAAACATCCTCTACCCAATTTTTATGGTTTGTCTTCAAAGAGAAATATTCTTTGTAACAAGGTAGCCTAGATGCTAAAATTTGAGCCCTCTTTTTTCTTTAGTCTAAGTTCTGAAAAGATGAAAACTCAGTTGATAATCTAGTTCTTAAACTGAAGACTTATGTTACCTATCAACCAATCCTTTACTGAGTTGAATAGTCCTGATTACATTAGCCATTTCAAAAACTTTATTTTTTAAGTTCATAATAATTTCTAAAATATTTATTTGAATTCATTTTAAAATTTCTTCTTAAATGTAAAGTTTTAGAAGAATTAATTATTGTTGTTACTAATATAAAAAATAAGAGGAAGATGATTCATGATTCCCAGATATTTTTCTTATCAGAACACATTATCATTTCCTTCAATTTAAACTAAAATTCAAATGACATCAGAGTAACAATATTTATCTTAGGGTTCAGTCAGACTTTTACTTTAATTCTATTATATATAGTTAGCAAGCCTATCCTCCTATTTCAGGCAGCTTTTGCTGGTTAAAAACAAAATAACAAATAAATGAAACTGGAGAAAATTTTTCATATATTGCTAAATAAAAAAAGTACCTTTACTGTAGGAAAGCCTTGCTGTGTTCTATCCTTGACCGAGCCTCGGCTACCTTCCGTCAGGTACCGAGCTCTATGTTGGGTCTCAGGTTGTACAAGTATCTTCAGCTCCTTTCCCTCACTTTTAACAGGATACTGTCCACTCAACATAGGGCTTTTCTTTACTCCAGTTCCTTTTTGGTTTTCCAATGTTCTGAGAAGTCAAAGCACAACATGGAAAAAGCATCAAAAAGTGTTGTTTTTACAAAAGTCATGTAAGATAAAGGAGGAAACAGAATAGGCAGTAACATTAAAAACAATTGATTATCTTAATGATAAAATAAATAAAGCCTTGGGGAAGAAACATTCCATAACAAAGTATATTTTAAAATTTCATAATCAAATTTAATTAATGATGCAAAATAAAAGTTTGCACAGGGTGAGACAAAGAATGCATATATGTGGTAGGAAGAAGGAAGATTGAATGCAATAAACTAGGAATAACAGGAAAGAATATAGCTAATGTCACTTATAACCTTTCACATTGTACTTCAGTCAAAATAAATTTTTTAAGTTACATATACATGTGGGTATTACATAAAGCTATGAGATTAACTACCATTACTTTCTAATCAGACTTGCAAAGCAAAATAAATAAATAAATAAATAAATAAATAGGGGTAGCAAAAAAAGAAACAAGCAAACAATGGGCCTTAAAGAAAACCTGAAGGCACATGTAAAATATTCTTTTTGATATCTTTCTCAGGACATCTGAGAAAATAATTTAAAAAATTAGTGATTCAATTTTTATTGGAAATTAACTTTACTCTAAACAACTTTTCCCAGAAGTATAAATTTTTAGAGCATATTCTTTTTTGTGATAAATTAAAGCTCTTAATGCATAAAATTTTACAATCTGGGCTTTACTGATAAGCAATCTAATGTATTTTTATTTATTATTATTATTTTTGTTAATCTTCACTTGAGGATATTTTTCCCACTGATTTTTAGAGAGAGTAGAAGGGAGGGAAGGAGGAAAGGGAGAGAGAGAGGGAGGGAGGAAAGGAAAAGAGGGAGGAAAGGAGGAAAGAGAAAGAGGAAAGAAGAGAGGGAGGGAGAAATGGCAGGGAGAGAATGGAAGAGAGAAACACTGATGTCAGAGAGATACAGTTGCCTCCCACATGCACCCTAATAGGGCTAGGATCGAATCTGCAACCCAAGTATGTGCCCTTGACCAGGAATCAAACCCCTTTTGGTGTGAGGGCCGATGCTCTAACCACTGAGTGACCTGACAGAGCTAACTTATTTTTTTTTTTAATTGTGTTTCTAATGTTTATTTTGTTTAACATTCATGTTTTATGTGGAATATGATTCAAAGAAAAATATTTCAAATGGTGGTTAGGACTTCAAGTAGATACATTTAATCCGAAGCACTGTAAATATGCCATAAAAATAAGTAGAAAACAATATTATTTTAAAATAGGTTGACGTGAAGGGGTTCAATGGGGGGAAAGTGGGAACATTTGTAATATTTTCAACAATGAAGATAAATTTAAAAAAAAAATAAAAGGTTGAAATTTTCCATGCACTTTTAAAAATAGTCAGGGCCTATAATGCTTACTATATGACCTTCTCAGTCCTAAGTTTATACTCACTTTGACAATACAGAAGCCAGGAGATAACTATGGACAAAATTTCGTCCAAAAACAAATAGGCCCCAGGAGAAATATTATGACTTCAAACATAGAGGAGCCATGGTGCTTAAGCAGCCGTAAAACTGGCTCTAATATTTACCCCTCCACCTCTAACCAAGTTGTTGCCTCAAATTATCAATAACAAAACCAGCCCTGGTTCCATTCAGAGTACAAACTATGACTAAGAAAGGGACAGAAGAATGAAGGAAAGAAGGGTTACAAAGGGATGTAATAAGACTGACTGGATAAGAAGAGTTTTGTGGACAAGTAGTGTTGAATCATTTTCATATTTCCTGAATCTTGTACAATTCCTTAAAGAGTAGGTGCTGGAAAAAAAAAGTTTGTTTATAACTTTTACAAACAAATAGGAAGAAGAAAAACACAAAGAAAGAAAGCAGAGGAAAAAAAAGGAGCTTCTATCATAGTAAGTGGCTAAGGCATCCAGTAAGTTTGACATGATAAGTCGAAGATTACCTGAGTAATTTAAAAGGCCCTGGAAGAATAAATCCTATGAACAAAGTACTAAGTTGAACCTGGAACAATGGGCATTAAATCCCATTTTTCTTTTCATCGTTCTGGGTGGAAATGTAAACATTTGCTCTGAATGAAATGTGGAATCCCTTACTTATAAAATTTTATATAATATTCTGTTTATTAGTCATTTTAAAATAAAAGTAAAAAATTCACTTAATCTAATATAAAAAATCTCCCAAATATGCACTGAAAGGGACTAAAAGGAAATACAGCAAAATTCTAATAGTTGTATTGAATAACTAGACTATAAGTTATTTATTTTCATTTATATAGTTTTCAAATAACATCTATTAATTTCATAATAGAAAAGGGCATTATCTTAGTTTAATATAAATAAAATTTAGCATATCAACTAATTTGGCAAGATATGGCTTTATATTCACTGATATTTATGAGAATAGTTGATAATGAGTTTTACTATTTCAATAAAACAAAATATTTCATACTGAAATGAAGACTGCTGAGTGAGTTAACAAAGTATATACATTAGGATTTAAAGAAAAATAACACATGTAATTAATTTATGAAATGACATTTTAAAAAGCCCTTAAAACTATCACTAGGTTTAAATGTAAAAATAGAATACATATATATATATTTAGATTTCTAGACATAAAACTATTGAAAACATCAACTAATTATTAGTCATTCAAATTACTAATTTTTAAGGCAAGATAGCTTAAGAAAAAACAAGAAAGTATCAGTTTAATTGAACGGATTTTACTTCTAAATAGCATCTAAGAATAAAATCCACTCTCTTGGCATATTCCATTCAAAAGACTTAAAATGACATTCTAATTCCTTTGTATTAATTACATAGTTTTCTGTTGGTCTATGTCACAAATAACTTTCATTATAAAATGCCTGAAACAGGTTTCATATCAAGATAACATATCTTAATTTCTAGAAAAAATATAGGGCTACTGAGACTCAGGAAATTTAGTAGAAGAATTTAAGAATGATATGGCTAGAAATGGTTAAATACCAAGTAATATATTTTTAAATAGTTTTGTTTTCTTAATAAACTCTATTATAGAAACTTTTTTTGGGGGGGGGTTAATCCTCACCTAAGGATATTTTTCCATTGATTTTTTAGAGAGAGTGGAAGGGAGAGAGGGATGGAGAAAGAGGGGAAAAGAGAGAAACATTAATGTGAGAGAGACATACTGATTGGTTGTCTCCCACACGCCTCCCAACCAGGGCCAGGTTAAGATTGAACCTGCAACCAGGTATGTTTCCTTGAACAGGAATCAAAACCAACTGAGACCCTTTCGTGGCCAGGCTGACATTTCTAACCACTGAGCAATTCCTGCCAGGGCATAACTTATATAACATTTTAATCATATAAAAATGCTATTTCCATCTTGAAGACAATAAATTGGTAAGAACATTATTTGAGGGTACATTTTCTGCAATTTAGCATTACATAAATTAAAGTCTATGGCATATTAGATTTAAGGCTTTATACCTATCTCTCAAAACATTTCTAAATATGTTTCATGTTCCCAATCTTTTTCTTGTTGAAGAATAATTGTCCTCAAAGGCCTAATTTTCTCCATATTTACAAATATTTTTTCCCTTTTCTTTATATAGTTCTTAATAATTCAAAATTTAAACTTCTTCCATCATTTTCATATGCCAGAGTTAAGTATTTTTCACTACCTAAGAAGCTGGACATTCTTCTTCTGCTTGATGAGTTTCTGTTCCATTAATTATTTCATGAGAGATTTTGTCTTGACAAATGTTATACTTTCCCTGAGTAACCTCAAATCATTTCTAGATATATCTGTCATACAAAAGCAGAAAAGATATAGCTCAAGATATCTCTTTCATGTTTATTTTTTATTTTTTTTCAAGACTGAATTAGCTTTAATAAGCAATTTATGAATGGGGCAGTATCCCTTCTAGCAGCTAAAAGGATGTTATAAGTCAATCATGTCAAACTCGTGGTCCTTAGGCCACATGTAGCCCACAATGAATATTTTTTCAGCCCATTCAATATAATGGTATGTAAAAAACGTTCTAATTAAAATTTCATAACTTTTACAATATCCTATTATACATAATTATTAATAACAAACTACAATGTTCACTAGTGACTGACTATTGTGTTGCATTCATTTCTCTTACAAGCCTTATGCACAGGGGCACCATTTCTCTCCACTAATACCAGCAGCAAATATTTTAGCAGCCAATGGCCATATCATTAGTCTTAGACTGACTTGTTTGGTGTGCGTAACTGGAAATATTTCACTTTCGGAGAACAAGAAAAATAGGTTTATTTGCATTATGCTGATTAATTTGTGCAGATATTCAGTATCTGGTAAGTTAATGTTCAAGAAAAAATATTTTTATTAAAATGTTCTATTATTTTATGTTAACGATTACTCATTTATTTCAGCCCTTTGTATTCAGCATGTCTCTATCGAAATAAATCTACATTTCTATGAGAACTGAAGTTTTTGTGTTTGTTTTTTTTTGCGGCCCACATAAACTTAAACCTTGTTTATTTGGCCCAAATTAACCTTTGAATTTGACATGCTTGTTCTAAGTTATCTCTTTAATAGCAACTGCAAACCATGTGTGTTGACTAACTCTTAAGTCAAAAATTTTTTTGTTTTCATTTGAAACTTTAACATTTATTTATAATAAATAAAAAGAAAAATCTCTCTTCTGGAACTTAAAAAAAAATCTGTCTCCACTAAAACCTAAATAAACACATATCTGTATTTAATGATAGATGTACATGAGCCTTTTAGTTTTGTGCTACTAATATAACATAGGTAATAGTTCTAAAAATATGTCTAGAATTCTTAAATCTGCTAGTGGCAACATTTTAAGAAAGCGTAAACTTGTTTTCTTTTAAATAATTTCCTAATCTGGACTTTCTAAAAATAAAAAAACAGTTAAATGTATATTTTTCACTTAACTGCATCACACTAAAGTTTTAAATAAGAGAAGAGAAGTAGCAGAGAATAATTATTGCTTAAATGCTAAGTATTACTTTCAAAATGTACTGAGAGAATATTCAAAATGTACTGAGAAAATATTCAAAATGTACTGAGAGAATATTCAAAATGTACTGAGAGGACAAGTTTAATATACATTAAAAATACTCTGGTACTACTCAATTAGATTTTTAACTTAAAAGATATCAACGATGTAATCAAGTAGTAAATAAATCTAAAGCTTCTCTATCACTTTTGTGACAACTTGAAATTATAGATCCTGGAGCAACAAAAGGACCATAGCCTGCTTCCCAAAAAATCTCTCTCAAAATCCAATGTGTTAATTTTTATCAAACTATAGGAAACTCTAAAAAGTCTAGCAATTAAACATTACAATAAAAGTACTAAAAGAATTTAAAAGTTAAAAAATAAGTCATAGTATTCTGTACTATATAGCAGTGAATATTCTATAATATAGTTACAGAAATATTTAGAGAGTGTTGTGAACTAACAGAAATCAATGTAAACTCAAACATGTACTATGATTCCGTTCTAGCATCCTTCAAATACATAAACCAGAATCATAGAAAAAAATTTCATTATGTATTCTTTTAAAATCCCAAATGAGAGCTGTATGCCTACTATGTATGAGTCTATCTCTATTTTGCTTGGTAGTTCAATTTGTTCATTAAATTCCAGATAGCTCTGGTGGGAGGGGAATGTTGCAGCAGGAGGGATTGAGCAAAAAAAGAGAAAAAGAGAACTCATGGACATGAATAACATTGTGGTGATTGTGGGGGTGGGGGTGGGCAGCAGTGTGGATGTGGAAGAGGGCAGAGAGGGGATAAATGGTGATGGAATAAATTAAATTAAAAATCCCAAATCAGCACAATGTATACAAAAAAGCTTAAAATAAATACATAAATCTAAATAATGAAAACCACGCCATCAATCATTTTTTTCTTATTTTTATGAAATAAAAGAAAAATAAAGTCTAAAACCCTCACAAAAATGGAAACAGATTGAATCATATGGAGAGACAATGTGAAAAGAACACAAACAAGTCCTTTGTGAGTGTCTTGAGTTGTTTCAGCTAAAGCCATTACATGCTAATTATTTTTATGAGTAAAAATATTCTTAAATCCTTTTAAAATATAAACTATTTGAAACATTATTTTATTTTATACTACTTAATCACATCCATAGGAAGATACCTATCGCTAAAAATTTTTATTTTATCTTTTCTCTAGTGAAACTTGGCAATTTTAAGTTAAAATTTTGAGGTATTTCAAATGATAAAATTAGTTTCTTTGCTTTAAATGCATACTTGAGTTAAGCAATTAAGAAAAGTGGGGAATGATTTTGTTGTTGTTTTGCATAATGGTGATAGAACTTTAAAAAAAAAATGTGAATACCAACCCATTTCCTGCTTTTGAGTTGCCTTTGTTGTCCGTGGTAAGCTGAGAGAGCACATAATGAGGTGCTTTGGCACTGTCGGCATCAAATATATCCATATTAGATTCTTCACAATCTCGTCGTTTGACCCCCGGCCTCTGCTTTGGATTTCGTTTTCGTGATTTACGAGGTACCTCAGTATTATCATTGTAGGAACTGGTGCTCATGTTACTGAAGTTGGAGGGGGAATCCTCCATCCACATACTGCAGCTCTGCTCAGATTCCAATGCACACCCCTCATCCTGGCAGGACATCCGACTGTTATCCAGCAAGTCCTCAGGTGGTGGTGAGATGTACAAGACTGTGTGCCTCTTCGGTGTTGATGGATGCTGCTGAACTGTGTTACTGGTTATCTGCTTTTCACTTACCCCTCTGTTACTTACCCCCAAGGCTGAGGAGCAGCTCTCCACTTGCATAGCCTTGCTGTCGGTGACTGAGGTAGAATAAATGGTAGGGCTGGAAGAGGTGGTAAAGGAGCTGCAAGCACCGCCCATGGAGGAAGAGGAGGGAGCTGAAGAAGCATCTGCAGTGTACAATTTAAGAGTAAATACACTATACATGTTTTCTCCTATGCTGGCTAGCAGTCCCATTGAAAATGTGATTTGTGAACTGATTGTTTTTCCCCAAAATGAATAGTTGGAATTTGGTTAAGTTTTAGAATATCAGTGCTTCAAGCAACAGAAGGCCTAAGAAATGCATTTTTTTTTAAATGCCCAAATAGAATTATTTTACTTGTGCTATAATTGATTTTCAAAAAAATCTAATGTTTTAAGCTGTAAAGCAAGAATAAAGCTCTTATTGCCTCAGCTGGATGTTCGATTGAATTTTAATAATTTAAAATAATAAAGAAAACCCCAATATAAAATATATGCTTATGGTCCACATTCAATGCCAATTAAATAATTTATTACAGAATTTGAAAAGTGGGACTGTGCTTAGCCACAAAATATTAAAATAAGTCTCTAACCTATGAAGCAGAGAACTACAGGTCATTTTTAATGCAGACACTCCCTGCTTCAGAGGCAAATCCTGGAATAAAAATATGAGAAAATAAATGAGAAAAGAGCTGCTGATTATTCCAGATATCAATTATAAAATGAAAAATAAAGAGAAAAAAATATATAATCAACTGAATTGGAGGCAAAATGGAACTGGTACCGTCACTCTGTCACTATGATTATTGTCACTATGATCTAGAAGAATAAACCTGAAAAAGGTTTGATTTGGAACATGCCAGGTTGTAGGAGATAAGCAAGTTAACCACTGGGGAGGGTCTCAAGAAGTTGGAAGTGATAGTTCAAAACCATAATCTCTAAAATAAATAAATCCATCTTAAATGGTGGAATGAAAAGTAGAGTAAGGACAGATTACTGGATGGATTGCTTATATAAAGTACTTGATTACACTCAGCAACTGGTTACCACTGTCCATTTCCTCTCTCTTCAAGGGCCCACTTGTTTAAACTATTAAAGAAATTTTCTTAGCAAATTTTATTGGCCAGAATCTAAAAACAAAGAATTAAGCAAGAAAAATCTCTGGATATCACCAGAATCTATAAAAAAAGGGTGTTTTTTTTTTTTTTAATAAGACTATTTATCTATTATGCTCAGCAAAAAAGATTTAAGTAGATCTTTTCAAAATATGTGACAACTGGCAGAACAGCTCATTGGAAAATAATACTGCTTTAAAACCTTAACAGCATAACCTCAAAGGCACACTAATAATGTTAGGGTTAGGTGTTGTCAGTCCTAAAATCTTACAAATACCATTTTATCTTGTATAATACGTGCGAAGTTTTATAATCGTATACACAATAAAAATAGGTAACATGGCAGACAACTAAAAGATACGTTTATATGTAAAGTTAATTTTTATCAATATTCAAGTATGCCACTGTTTTAAAATGGAATGATGAAACTTAAAATTGTGATATGCAGTTATTGGAATTGTAATATTCATATCAATTATAATATAAAAAGTGAAATGTAAGAATGCCAATGTTTAGATAATCAAAAGCCAACTGCCAAAGATCTACTTTTAAAATAAAAACATGTACGAAAACACTTAAATCATTTGAAAGAACTAAATTAAGTCATAATATTCATTACTTTAAAGATTAAACAGCATAGTAATTAATATTAGCATTATTAATGTGATCTACATAATGCCATATGGAGATTATTCCCAACTACTATAAGACAAAGAACTTAGAGCAATTAGATGATACCAGTTCCATTTTCCAGTTCGTATCCTTGTCAAATTGAGTAGATGAAATTGGAAAATTCAGTCATTTTAAACTGCATTCCAATTTAAATAAAAATTTATCAATTTTGTATCATGCATTAATGCAATCTTTTCTTAGTAAATAAATATTTTAAAAGGTATGTAATAACTACAAAATCTAGATGCTAATGTCAGTGACAGTTTAGGAGCTGATTTGTAGCCACTTTGGGTTTAAATAACAAGTTTTTAAAAAAAAAAAATACAACAGAATTCATTTTAGAAAAAATAGAAAAGGTATTATGTCTAACATTCCTTTATCTGTTCCAACTATTGGCACAAATGAAACTAAATTGTTATGTATGTATGAGCCCATGTTCTTCATTTTCAGAGAAATACAAGTATACAGCATGCAATATTTGCAGTGGATCACACAAAGCATGCAGCATGAATGTTGTGAATCTGTCTTTCTAGAAGAAGCTTTTCCCAACCCACACTTTTTGAATCTAAGTACCATGCACATGAGAATGCAGAATATGACCATCGCAGGAATCCCTGTCCTTGACAGATGGAAAGTACAGGTGAAAAACAATTATGAACTCAAAAGCAAGTTATTATAACTTTAATTTGCAAGATATAACCCACCATTGCTCTTTGGTATCTATATGAGTTTATCTTGCAAATCTTATCAAAACAAACATGGTTATAAAACCAAATTGATATAACCATACATAAATTCTGTTCTGGGACAGGTATGCAAACTGATTTCATACCCTCCATAAATTAAAATATTCTATATATTTTTCTTAGTCACCTAACCCCAATTTTTAAAATTTTACCTGCAGTTTCCTGTATATAGTTATTTAAAAAGTTCATTAGCACAAAACTATAAAACTGAAAACATAAATTCTGTCAGGAGACAGTAGTAAGCATTCTTTAATTTAAAAATAGTATTACTTTTTAAAGCCTCCCTCATTTTGACCCTAAATTATAAAAATTCTACTCATTTTAAGACTATAACAAATCAAACTATAAAACTATCATATTATCATTGTTGCTCTGATGATAATTATAATGGTGTATAAAATCTTTCACATAAAGATGTTACATTCTGGTTAGCAAGACATCACTAACGTGCATTAATAATGACGAGTTAGATGGTGGAAGATAAGAACTATGAGCCCTTTGAGAGCATGGACAATTTATTTATCTTAAACTCTTCCAACACCTAACATAGTGCCTTGCATGTTATTTGTTATTAAATTAATTTATGGGAAGCTAATATTTGATATAGGTGCTGAGTTTATTAAAGTTAAACTGGCAAATAAAGATATCAATGTGTTCACAATAGACACATCAGATTTATTTAAAAAAAGATTTACTAACTAAAACTTAAGACTATATATTGCTATAATAGCATTATCTGATAGAGGGAAAAGGTTTAGAAGAAACTTAAAGAGTTTAGAGGTAACTACTTGCCATTTCTACAAAGAGTGCTCTAATAACTTCCTTTCTTGAAACTATACATTAGCTAAATTACCTATTGTGTACTGACCTATAAATTTACTAAGAATAAAAATCCTTATTATTATCTATTACAAATAAATAGTAAAAATAATGTCAAGAATATATTAAATTTCTAAACAATAGTTGGCCATTTCTAAGCATTCCCAGAAAAGCACTAAAAAACATTCCTGGAAATATTATAAATATAACTTAAGGTCACCATGGTATTAAGAAACAGCCATAGCATTAAAAAACAGCCTGGCCAGTGTGGCTCAGTGGCTGAGTGTTGTCCCATGCACCAAAGGTCACAGTTAGATTCCCAGTCAGAGTACATGTCCGGGGTTGCAGGATCAATCCCCAGTGTGGGGCATGCAGAAGGCAGCTGATGAATGTTTCTCTCTCTTCTCCCTTCCTCTCTCTCTAAAATCAATAAAAAATACATTTAAAAATATATATCAATAAACTTAATTGACATTCTATAGAACAAAAATGCTAATCAATCCTCATCTATATATATTTTTTCATTTATAAGTTTTATAAACAAAATATGCTACCTTCCCTCACTTTTTTTTGTTTTGAGTCTCTATTTTTATATTTAGAAACATAGATATTATGTTTAATTGCTGCACTTTAAAATACAAAAACTCCAACATAAAAATGTTTTAGTAACTGCTTTTATTTTTCATTGAGCAGAGTAGTTATAATGTATTTCTGATTTATAACTTTATACTTAATTTTTGTTCTTTAAATCCCTTACCAATTCTTCATAAAGATGGGAGTTTTCCTTAAATTTTTCTTAAGCTTATTCTTTCACTTAAGTAATGTGTAATAAATTTTTATTGGTATTTTTCTTTTATGAAAAAGTTATCTTTGAATCCAGAAGAATTTTATTTTTCCACAGTATTACCTGTGATCACAGACAGCACAACAAATTAAAGGGAAAACCAATATACCATTTCTACAATTTACTAATGTAAATTTATAATCTCAAAAGAATAAATTAACTCTAAAATTTGTAAATGAAGGGAAGCACTACAGCTATCATGTTTTAATAATTATATTATTGATTAGCCAATTACTAGAAAAATGTTAGTATAATGATGGTCAACTTAAGTTGGATATATGACTTCTTTTAAGAAGATGGAATAATTAAGGTTTACTATGAATATTCAAAATAATTGGGATAAAAAGAGTGGTAGGTAATATCTGCATGGATAACCCAGATAATTGCAAGTACTATTAATTTGATTACAAGGATGATAATGGATTTTTAAATAGTGCCCCATATACAAACCCTACATAGATTTTATATACTTCTTAAACAATATTTTAAAATTAAGAACTCTTGGTTTTAGATTTGTTGGAACTAGAAATTACTTTAATTACCATATCATTTCAATGATTAAAATACGATAAAATAGTTATTTTATACAGAATTAAACTTTTTCTAGAAAGCTATGAAATTAGAAACATTCTTTAAAATCCTCAGAAGAAACACCTTTTACAGATTTAAAATATATGAAAGAAATTATATTTAACTAAGCTTCCAAGATAAAAATGTGTTCCCTAGCATTTAATAAGTACATATATTTCATAGCTTTTCAACATTAATGCAAGAGTTTCCTAAGAAAGCCATTAAATCAAAGCCATAAAATTTACAAATGTGTTGTTAAGTGAACCAATAGCGGAACAGAGGAGGAGAAACAAACTATTAACTGCTCACAAAATAATCATTAAAAAAACCCACAGGATGTTTATAAACAATTTCTGGTCTAAAACATTTACTGTTCAATCTTA